TGAACAAGTAAAAAAAAAGACAGAAGCAGTTTGAAACAGCTTGATGCAAGTCAGAAAAGTGCTAAAGGTAGGTCAGAAGCAGATGTGAAGGAACTCTAAAGCATCTAAAACTGATCTCAAATGCCAGCTAAATGCCCATGCAGGGGCGGACTGACAACTCATGGGGCCCCCGGGCAATTGGGGATCATGGGGCTCCTGTGTCCTTGCCCAAACTCAAAAAAGCCTATGAAAAAGGTACCAGGGGCATTTCAAGGGGCCCCCTACTGACCCCGGGCCCTCGGGCAGTGCTCGAGTTTCCAACTGGTCAGTCCGCCCCTGTGCCCATGAAAGCATAGTCTTTGCCCATCTACAGCCCTTCATGACTTTCCAAAGCAAAATATTACATTCATGTCATCTGATAGGGAATAAAAAACAGCTAAAACAAATGTACAGTAACATTTAAATCTGAAATCAATTTATTGTTTTTCTCATCTTTCTGCTTCTTTATTTAGAAAGTCAATACCTGGGATGTGAATAAGTGAATATGTCAGGCAGGCCCTTGAACTATATAGTTGTTGGTTGAACTAAAAGAGGTGGATTTATGGTTTCAAATGCAGCTGTATTTAATGACAAACTGTACTTCCTTAGACCCCAGTCTGCATAGAACATATTGATACTTGCTGACCAGGGGCGGACTGAAAACTCATGGGGCCCCCGGGCAATAGGGGATCATGGGGCCCCTGTGTCCTTGCCCAAACTCAAAACAGCCTATGAAAAAGGTACCAGGGGCATCCCATGGGGCCCCCTACTGACCCGGGCCCTCAGGCAGTGCCCGAGTTTCCAAATGGTCAGTCTGCCCCTGTTGCTGACTTAAAATCAGAATCCACAGACAGCTTAACTCTTCAATAAGAGGTTGAATCCAGCATTGTTTTACTTCAGATAAGCACAGGCAGAGTATGTTTTTCCAGTCTTTTGAAGTGTTAGAAGACAATGAAGCCCTTTTCTGTGATGAAAGTGAAACTATTCTAAACAACCACAAAGGAGCAAGAAGGGTCTAGCTAGAGACTTTATTAACCTCCTTAGCGGTATTCCTGAGTGTAGCTCGGGGTAAAATTTCAAGTACCAAAAGCAGTAACCCCGAGCTACACTCGGGCTTACCATGCGGCGTTGCTCAGGGGGTCCCTGCAGCACTTACCTTGTCCTTCGCTCCCGCAATGTGTCCCCTGCAGCGTCCCCGGCCATCTCCTCTGGCCGATGCCGGCATCGGCTTCTGTGTTCCGGTCCCTGTGACGTCGGGACGTACGGGCGCCAAAACCGGCGGGAAATTTGAAATTTTTTAAAAATGTCATTTTTGCTGTCATTGCTGTTTCAATGCATTTCACATATATTTTGTCCCTAGTGCTTTGTCCGGCGCCCTGCCTGCATTTTGACTGTTCTTTCTGCCTGGAAACTTAGAAAAGTCCATGGCGTCCAAAAAGCGTCCCTTTACGTCAAAAGCGGTTTTAGAACAGCGATAGTAAATCAGAACCACTTGCAGAATTGAGTGATAATAATTTGTGGGGAAATTCGTCTGAAAAAAACGATTTTGCGACTTTGCTCAGCGATGTGCGAATTTGCCTCTGTATTTCAAATTTCAGTGTTTTTGGTTTGATTATATTATTGAATTAAATGTATTATTATTATATTATTATTTTTTATGATTATTTATTATATTATAATTTATGATTTCGTGTTTCACGTTTTATCATACCCAGGATGTTTACTAGACTGTTGTTCGGACAGATTTCAGTGAGTTATTCCTAAAAATTACAGCCTACAATAAAAAATGACATATTTCCATGCAAAAAAAATGATACCGCTTTCAGCACAAAAAATCGGAAAGAATCATACCGCCAGGGAGGTTAAGTAGAGACAAAATGTGAGGGGAAAAAAGAGGAACATGTAGTATAAAAGGCACAGGCTGCCATGGAAGCACACTTCCCACCTACTGCATGCAGATACAGCTGTATTAATAATACAATGCAATACACAGAAACAACAATGAAGCACATAATATATGGGACACAATAGAGTGTACAGACAGATTCTAATGTGTGTGAATTATTTCAGATTGCATAATGCAAGGTGTCCTTTGTGGAGCATATATATATATATATATATATATATATAAAATATATATATATATACAGTATATATATATATATATATACAGTATATATATATATATATATATATATTCCATTTTCCATAAATCAGTCCTACTGAGTAGAACTGTTTTAATAAACCAGGCGTGCAATAAATTGATGTCTACACTTCAAACATGATATTGTTTCTCTGCAGTCTACCAAGCCCACATGCTATGAAGCCCAGTGGGGTTTCTTATACTATGTAACTGCTTGAAAATTCATTAAAATATAGAATAGTGGCACCATATATTATAAAGCTTCTATGATCAGCTCCATCAGACTCATCCCCAAATGACCGATCTCTGTAATCTTCCATCTTTGAATCAATCAAAAATTGCAACAGTTCGATGTATATTGCTATGCTTTGTAAAACCGGTTAAGGCCTTGGTTGCCTCTCGGTAGTATTAACTTTCCTAGGATAGAAATGTTTATGGTCTTCTATATGATGAAAGAATTAAGGGGTAAAAGAAGCATCTTTTCTTTATTAGTCTAAATGAGAACTGTGAAAATCCACTGGGGCCGGTTTAGCAAATAAGTAGACGCAGTTCAATCAGCAGAGTGAATGTTCGCTGATCAGAAATGTATGGTTGCTTTGCAAAGTAAATCTCTGTTCATTTTAATACCCAATCAGGTGCCAGGAAAAAAAATGAACATACACTTCTCTAAGCAGTCTCTTGTCCTTTATTAAGAGCTCATTTACTAAACTGAGTGAGAATTATCTTTGCAAAGTGGATAGATAGATGATAGATAGATAGATAGATAGATAGATAGATAGATAGATAGATAAAAATAGATAGATAGATAGATAGCAGGGGCAGACTGACCATTTGGAAACTCCGGCACTGCCCGAGGGCCCGGGGTCAGTAGGGGGTCCTGGTACCTTTTTCATAGGCTTTTTTGAGTTTGGTCAAGGACACAGGGACCCCATGATCCCCTATTGCCCAGGGGCCCCATGAGCTGTCAGTCTCCAACAAAAGTGACAAACTATTGCCACTAATAGATAGATAGATAGATAGATAGATAGATAGATAGATAGATAGATAGATAGATAGATAGATAGATAATAGATAGATAGATAATAGATAGATAGATAGATAGATATAGATAGATAGAGATAGATAGATATTGTGACCGTGTGAGGTCCTGCCACTGTGTAAATAGTTGTAAGGACACAGGTTTCACAAGTATACAGAGTGCAGGACCCCGAATTATTGATTATTTTAATGCTTTCTCTAGATTTTGGTATTCCCAGATTGGACTCCGTAGTTTGCAGATTTTAAAGTGCTTTGGTAGGAATCTCCAATCCAGTCTTGTTAAAGACCAGCAGCTTGTGTGTCCAGAACACAACCCTTGTAATGAAGGCTTGGGAATAGCTTAGAGCTCCAGCAAAAAGGGATGTATGCTCCGATTTTGGAGACAGAACCCTTTTCTGGAGAGCTGTGTGTTCCTGCCTCTCTTGGTCTCCCAGACCCACTGTCAGGGCTCCCAGGGTATGACCAGAAGTATGTGACTGACGCAGGGAAACGCAGACTCCAGATATGATATAAACAATATAATTTATTAACACTCACAATACATAAACGCAGTGCAATACTAAAACATAAACACAGTGCAAACGAACCAAACTAAACCACCCACAGATAACAAAACATACAATGCAAGCGTCGTCAGGCAGGCCGGGTCAATAACAGGAGGTCAGAACGTATGGGGGTTAAGCAGGAGAATGGTCAGACAAAGCCAGGGATCAGAGCAGGAGAATGGTCAGACAAAGCCAGGGATCAGAGCAGGGGAATGGTCAGACAAAGCCAGGGATCAGAGCAGGGTCAGCAACGAATCAGACAGGAACAGGAACAGGAACAGGATTGCAGGAACAGGATACAGGGCCCAGGAGAAACACACACCAAGGCAGAGTCTGCAGGTCTGGCCATCCTTTTAAATACACCAGCATAAGCAGTTTCAGGTGTTTGGCTGGCTGCAAGGTTGAGTCTCTGATTGCTGGGAGCAGCCCGCTGGCCAGCCCTGGTACTGCAGCCCATAAGGCAGGTGAGTCCCACCATTGCTGGCCAGTCTATTCCTGACAGTACCCCCCCTCAAGGAGCGGCCTCAGGACGCTCCAAACAGTCCTAGCTGGGCAAAATGTTCCGCCCCGCCCGGGTCTGGTAACTGGCGGGATATCAAAGACTGGCACACCGGGCAGGACTCCGGGCAGCGGCACACCGGGCAGGACTCCGGGCAGACGCACATCGGGCTGGACTCCGGGCAGAGGCACATCGGGCTGGACTCCGGGCAGAGGCACATCGGGCTGGACTCCGGGCAGAGGCACATCGGGCTGGACTCCGGGCAGAGGCACATCGGGCTGGACTCCGGGCAGAGGCACATCGGGCTGGACTCCGGGCAGAGGCACATCGGGCTGGACTCCGGGCAGAGGCACATCGGGCTGGACTCCGGGCAGAGGCACATCGGATCACCAGGCGGAGCAGAAGGCACCAAGCCCCCAGGCGGAGCAGCAGGCACCGGGCCCCCAGGCGGAGCGAGGAGCAGCAGGCACCGGGCCCCCAGGCGGGGCGACAGGCACCGGGCCCCCCAGGCGGGGTGACAGGCATCGGGGCCCCAGGCGGGGCGACAGGCATCGGGCCCCCAGGCGGGGCGACAGGCATCGGGCCGCCAGGCGGAGGGGCAACAGGCATTGGGCCCCCAGGCGGAGCGGCGGGCGCCAGACCCCCAGGCGGAGTGACAGGTCTCGGGCCCCCAGGCGGAGCGGCGGGCGCCGGACCCCCAGGCGGGAAGCGACAGGTCTCAGCCCCCAGGCGGAGCGACAGGTCTCGGACCCCCAGGCGGAGCGACAGGTCTCGGACCCCCAGGCGGAGCGACAGGTCTCGGCCCCCAGGCGGAGCGACAGGTCTCAGGCCCCCAGGCGGAGCGGACAGGGCGGGACCCCCAGGCGGAGCGGCGGGCGCCGGACCCCCAGGCAGAGCGGCGGGCACCGAGTCACCAGGCACGACAGTGGGCTCCGAGTCAACTGGCATTACCGCTGGCACTGGGTCAGACATTGGATCGTCTGGCTGGACAGCGGGCATCGGGTCACCAGGCATCAGGTCATTTGGCTCGACAGCGGGCACCGCGTCATCTGGCAAGGCAGTGGGCTCCGAGTCAACTGGCATGACCGTGGGCACTGGGTCAGACATTGGATCGTCTGGCTGGACAGCGGGCATTGGGTCACCAGGCATCAGGTCATTTGGCTGGAGAGCGGGCACCGCGTCATCTGGCAAGGCAGTGGGCACCAAGTCACCAGGCACGACAGTGGGCTCTGAGTCAATTGGCACGACAGCGGGCACCGGGTCATCAGGTACCGGATTGTCTGGCTCGACAGCGGGCATCGGGTCACCAGGTATGACAGCGGGCACTGGGTCACCAGGCATCAGGTCATTTGGCTTGCCAGCGGGCACCGCGTCATCTGGCAAGGCAGTGGGCACCGAGTCACCAGGCACGACAGCGGGCTCTGAGTCAATTGGCACAACAGCGGGCACCGGGTCATCAGGTACCGGATCGTCTGGCTCGACAGCAGGCACCGGGTCATCTGGCGCTGGATCGTCTGGCTCGACAGCAGGCATCGGGTCACCAGGCATGACAGCGGGCACTGGGTCATCAGGCATTGGATCGTCTGGCTCGACAGCGGGCATCGGGTCACCAGGTATGACAGCGGGCACCGGGTCATCAGGTACCGGATCGTCTGGATCAACAGCGGGCATCGAGTCAACTGGCCTAATAGGATCATCAGGCTGGATCAGTTCATCAGGCTGGATCAGTTCATCAGGCTGGGTAGAAACATCATGCTGGGTAGAGGCATCAGGCTGAGTAGAGGCATCAGGCTGAGTAGAGGCATCAGGCTGAGTAGAGGCATCAGGCTGAGTAGAGGCATCAGGCTGAGTAGAGGCATCAGGTTGGGTACAGGCATCAGGCATAGGCTGGGTACAGGCATCAGGCTGGGTACAGGCATCAGGCTGGGTACAGACCTCAGGCTGAAGTGCGGGTGTCGAGGCACCTGGCTGAACCACGGAAGGCAGGTTCTCAGACGGTAGGCTCACCGGTTTGGATACTGGCAGGATGGTATTGGTTGGAAACAATTTTCGCTTTTTTCTGGTTTTAACTACTGGAGCACTGCAAGTAAACGCAGGTCTGCAAACGAATGGAGCAGCTGGAGACAGAGAAAAGCTGGAGGATGGAACAGAGGAGGGAGCAGTTGCTACAGAGGGCTTTTTTACAGGGTTAAAGGCAGGATAGGTGCAGCGAGTGGGAACAGGGTACTGACATGCGGTAGATAGCAGGGCAGGAGGAGCTGTTGGGAATGCAGGAATAGAGCTTTGAGGAAATAGATTAGAAGCAGGACTGGGTTTTTGTAAGCTGACTGAGGCTGGGTGCAACAAACCTGACCATGTCTGCAGTATGGGTTGAACAAAGCTGAGCTTACACAAAGCCTGTCTGGTCAATGACTGCACTGCGTTTATACAATCTCTTAGTACCTGTGGTGAACATACAGAATAACGCTCCAGAAAGTAACCCACATCATCCTCTAATAACCATACCAGGGACTCTACCTGGTTGGCACTAAATGGTGGCAAAAATTCATCCCTGCATTTGGGGGTACCAGATGAAAACCAACTCAGCACAAACCTGAATCAAAGGCTGCACCTCAGAGAACTCTGTGCCCTGATCTACTAGAACATGAGCGAGCCGTATATTAATCTAGCAGTTGATCCCGGGGATACTCCTTCAGAGTTTGATAAGCATACTCTCTGTCATCAAACACTAGCAGATATAAATACACAACCTCATCAAGATCCATCCTTCCCAGTAACAAGCCAAGATGGCTTCCCTGTGCAGCCACTTCTGGTCAGGATTGGCCTTGGTGTAATGTCAGGGCTCCCAGGGTATGACCAGAGGTATGTGACTGACGCAGGGAAACACAGACTCCAGATATGATATAAACAATATAATTTATTAACACTAACAATACAAACATAAACGCAGTGCAATACTAAAACATAACACAGTGCAAACGAACCAAACTAAACCACCCACAGATAACAAAACATACAATGCAAGCATCGTCAGGCAGGCCGGGTCAATAACAGGAGGTCAAAAAAACGTATGGGGGTTAAGCAGAGAGAATGGTCAGACAAAGCCAGGGATCAGAGCAGGAGAATGGTCAGACAGGAAATGGTCAGCCAAAGCCAGGGATCAGAGCAGGGTCAGCAACGAATCAGACAGGAACAGGAACAGGATTACAGGATTGCAGGATTGCAGGAACAGGATACAGGGCCAGGAGAAACACACACCAAGGCAGAGTCTGCAGGTCTGGCCATCCCTTAAATACACCAGCATAAGCAGTTTCAGGTGTTTGGCTGGCTGCAAGGTTGAGTCTCTGATTGCTGGGAGCACCCGCTGGCCAGCCCTGGTACTGCAGCCATAAGGCAGGTGAGTCCCACCATTGCTGGCCAGTCCATTCCTGACACCCACATAGTTGTCCCACTTGTCCAGTCCTTGGTCAAGGAATACCCACCACCATTTTGTGCATTCCTTGCTCAAATATTGGGAATGTGAGGGAGAGTGCTTGGAGGAAGAGAAATTTGAGGCATATATTGCTGTTATTGAACCTGAGCTTGTCATCGGCTATATAAGGGGGGTGGTAGTAGCATCACTGACCAAATATTGTCATGACCGTATTTGGCCATTATCACTGCCCAAATATAGCCAGTGATATCGCTGCTGTCTTTGACCCTTTGCTTAAGGTAAAACTCCATGAAATGTTGTTTTCTCCCAAGCAGTGGGGCTGTGCCCAAACTGCATGAGTTAACTGCTTCATTGGTCTAGGACAGGGGTGGACTGACAACTCATGGGACCCCTGGGCAATAGGGGATCATGGGGTCCCTGTGTCCTTGCCCAAACTCAAAAAAGCCTATGAAAAAGATACCAGGGGCATCTCATGGGGCCCCCTACTGACCCCGGGCCCTCGGGCAGTGCCTGAGTTTTCCAAATGGTCAGTCCACCCGTGGTCTAGGAGCGCATCAAAAAGCTATACTTACCCCATCCTCCAGAAAACCATACTCCCCCATTTCCAGTGCTGGACAGTGCTGGACTGTTCCTGCTGTCCTCACACCCAGCATCAGTCCATAGGTGTTCTGACATCAGGAACAGTTCATTCACAAAATGCTCTTGGAGGGCTGGCAGATTAGGTAAGGATATATCTGCTCTGCAATCCTCTAGACAAAAATGAGCAGTTGCCCCATGCAGTGTAGGCACATCCCCACTGCATGGGAAAATAAAAAATGTTGCCACGAGTTCTTCTTCAAGTGGTGCATATTGCTGGTGATGCCATTGATTCCAAGTGATGCTGCAGATGCAAGCACTCGCAGCTTCCTTAGGAATCAGTAACAACAGGCAGTTGTCATATAAAAAAGTGGTAGAAATATTTTCAATATCATATCAATATCATTTTTGGCTCCAGCCAAACAGGGGGCTGAATAGGCAAAAGTTTAGGCCGCCTTAACACCCAAGCAGCCAGAAACACTCTTGCTAATCCCTACTTGTGAGTTAGGAACTGCACTATATTGAGGTGCCTAGATGGAACAGTGTGGCTTCACTGATAGTTAACAATGAATGCAACAAAAACTTCTGTTTTCAAACTGAGTTAAAACAGTTAAGTTAGGTGTCAGGAATCAGGGTATGACCAGAGGTGTGTGGACTGACACAGGGAAACGCAGGCTTCAGATATGTTATAAACAATATAATTTATTAAGACTAACAATACAAAACGCAGTGCAATACTAAACCTAAACACAGTGCAAACAAACCAAACCAAACCACCCACAGATAACAATACATACAATGGAAGAGTCATCAGGCAGGCCGGGTCAGTAGCAAACTGGCAAACGGAGTACCAGGAACAGAAAGAGAATGGTCAGGGTCACAAGCCAGGGATCAAACAGGAGAAGTCAGCAGAGGTCAGGATCAGGCAGGGTCGGCAACAAGTCAGACAGAAACAGGAACAGGAATACAGGATACAAGATACAGGGGCCCATGGAGAAACACACACCACGGACCTGACTGTGAGTCTGGCCATTCCTTAAATACAACCCCCGCAAACAGCTTCAGGTGTTTGGCTGATTGCAGGGGTGAGTCTCTGATTGCTGAGAGCACCCGCTGGCCAGCCCTTGTACTGCAGCCCACAAGGCAGGTGAGTCCCACCATTACTGGCAAGTCCATTCCTGACATTAGGTGTTTTCTTGCTGACTAGCTTACAAGTATGCTAGGGAACTTTTGTATTGTATTATATATTTGCAATTTATGAAAATTTTGCATTTTCACTTTCAGCCAGCTTGGACCTTTTCAAGTGTTTTTCAGTCTATTTATATCTTCCCCTGTTGTTTATCGAGCACAATAGCTGAAGCAGAAATTTATTCATACAACAGATCAGAGCAGTGCTTCCTTCCTCCCTCCAGACAAGGGGCACTGTGGGACATTTCAAGTAGAAAGAGGGGGTGTGAAAGCAAGCAATGGAGTTGATTTACTAAAAGTGTAGAATTCAAAATCTGGTGCAGCTGTGTATGGTAGCCAATCAGCTTTTAACTTGTTAAATTAAGCTTTGACAATAAAATCTGAAATTGATTTGTTTCTATAAACAGCTGCACCAGATTTATCACTCTACACGTTTAGTAAATCAATCCCTGTGTCTGCTGTGCCATCTCTTAAAAAAAAATATAATGTGAATCCTTTGTCACCCTCTTTTAAATGGTAATTGTTAGTCAAAGATTTTTCCTAAAAGGATAAAAAACAACATCCATTCAAAAAGGTATCAAATAAATAAAATGTTCATAGAACCATTATAGTCTCTCTTTTAATTCAAATGTAATTAATGATTTTGTGGCTTTTTCTTTTTTTGCTCTGCAGCAGATTTATTTAGCTACAATGTGAAAAACAGCTTTTATTAGGCGTGTAGTACTGAGTGTTTCTGTTCCCCGGGAAGGAAATACTAAATAAACAAACTTCTATTGCTTGCCTTGTTAGTGGCACCATGAAGAATGTTAGTCTTGAATGTTTCTCTCCCACACAGGAAGACATTTTTGTTCATAAATCCATGTGACATTGCATGTGATAAGGCGGGTTCTGAATATACTGTATATCATTACATGAGTGCTGCTGTGAAAGGGACCTTATAAAATAATAAGTCAAGCGCCTGAAGAAGGAGTCCTGCGTGGCCCCAGAACATTTTTATGCTGTGATGTTATTGTTGAACCACATCAACCCCTTGGGACATACCCTGGGGAGGACTGACAACTCATGGGGCCCCTGTGTCCTTGCCCAAACTAAAAAAAAAACTATGATAAAGGTACCAGGGGCATCTCATGGGGCCCCCTACTGACCCTGGGCCCTCGGGCAGTGCCCGAGTTTCCAAATGATCAGTCCGCCCCTGGACATACCCATACATCCTTGGGTTGAAGTGACTG